TTCGTCATTCACTCCCTCACGGAACGCCCTGATAAAATGGCCGTCACCGAGGGGAGCGCCGGCTAGAGCACAGCGTCTGGCCCACTCATCCAGACGCCCGATGTAGGATGTCAGGGTCTCCTGATTCGAGCGGGCAGTGGGTTCCGACAAGAGCTTCTCGACCTCGAAGTGGCCACCGCACTCTTCCGCTAGAGCGGAGCGGATATCAGCAACGGACGTTGAAAAGTCGACCAGAGTCGCGGGATTCTTACGTCCTACGGCCTCCTCGAGCGTGTACTCCGGAACTAGATTAGTGAGAAGAAAATAATGCTCAGGACCGCGGCCTCGGGGACTAACCTGCGGCCTCAACTAGACCTAGCCGCCCTAGACCCTCGCGGGGCCCTTCCCCACTCGGGTTGAAGTTTGTGAGGTATCTCACACAGAGCTCGCCCTCCGTTCACCTCCATTCCATCTTCCGAATGTTTTGAAAGAGGCCCGTGAGGGCCCGGTTGCGAGAGACAGAGAGAGAGTGTGTGAGTGGTATACTAATTCAAGTTCAACTAGTTTATGAAAATAATACATCAATTGTATCATGATACCTGAACCAAAAGATACTCTAGCATATTCAGTGGGTGATGTAACTCACATGGCGAGCACAGCATTTCCTGCCGTACTATTCTCAACTCCCGGCGCGGAATCAGTGGCGACGATGTAATCGCCCATCGTCGCCACTGAGTACTTGTGAGTTCTCCCTCGCAGTACATCCTAAACAAGCAAAGACCATCACAATTTCGCGCGCTACGAAACTTCTCTACCTTGAGATTCCAGGTGACCATCAAACTGCCGGTGGTGGTCACGATGGTTTCCTCGACTCCGCTGGGGCCGCATTCGAACCGCGCTGGGGTGAAGTTGATATCCTTCAGACCATACCTAACACGAAAAAAATGTCATTCAAGAACTGTTTTGCACCGTCTATTACTTCACGAAATCTTCCTGTGTTATGCTGATTGATATCAAATCAGGAGCGTTCTGGCTCATGGACTTGTCGAAGCCAGTGACACCACCCGGCAATTGAGTGTCGATCAACACCAAATACT